ACTTTTGATAAGTCAATAGTAACATCGAGATAGAGGTCTAGAAAATTTGTATTCTGCGCTGGATCCATAACCTCCAACAACGCACTGGCTAGATCGCCCTGGGAGCCCCTTCTAATCTGCCAAGGAACAATAGACAATTATTTCTTTAATAAAATCTTTTGAATACAAACTCCAAAAAGCCAATTCAAATACTAACAAACTAAGCTACCTTATCAATCTCATCGATCAAAACAAGAGAATTTGATGTTCCTACACTCTTTAGACATTGCACCATCTTTCCAGGCATGGCACCAACATATGATCGACGAAGCCCCTAAACAATTTATAAGATTATTATTGATATATGTTTGTTTATAACATTCAAATTATAGTTTTGTCATGTACATCGGGTAGTATACCTTAATCTCGTCAACATCGGATATTCCTCCAACAGAGAACCGGAAGAACTTGCTGTAAGAGCCCGTGCAATAGAACGCGCAATGCTAGTTTTACCTACTCCAGGAGGGCCAGACAGATAAATGATCTTACCTGTTGATTCATTTTACAAACTTTCAGTTTCACAGCTATAATTATTAGCAAAGAATATTGAATCAGAGCATATGCAAAACCTTGTGAAGTGCCTCTAAGTCTTCCCACAGCAATAAACTCTAGTATTCTTTCTTTTACATCAGATAATCCGTAATGATCCTCGTCAAGAATCTTTTCTGCCCATAGGCCGTCAAAATTATCATTGCTGCAAACCAGATTAATACGATTATAAATGAGACTTCTCGATCAGTACACAAATAAATCAATTACAAATGGTGTTATTATTTTCTTCAAGACCTGAGCACGAAGCAAATGGCAAACCTGAACTTTTCCCAAGGCAACATGGTCAACCAATCAAGGTAGTTATAGGCGTCATCGTAACAACTTGACTCTCTATCTATCATCTTCAGTTTTATAATCTCTTCTTCTATGACTTTTAATACATGTTTTAGAATTTTGTCTTTATTAACATTAATCATTTCCCTAAACTTGCTTGCTTTGTCTTTATTAGCATTAATCCTTTCCCTAAACTTGTCTGCAAAGGATAACATACTATATGAGCTCCAAGTTGTTTTACAGTCATGGACGTATAACTTTTAGAGCTATAGAAAGTTAGGCGTCATGAATACACATTGGTGCAATCTGAAAGTTTGAACAAATTATAATAAAACAGAGAATCGAAAATATTCTTATTGTAGTACTAACCAGAAGATGTAGATTCGATGTATGTCTTGTTGTCAGTCTCCACCCCAAGCTCCTGCGTTGGGACTGTAGCCATCAACCAATGATACAACACTTAATATAGGTAAAACACTCATTTCAAAAAAATCTAGTACTCGATTCTTGTTAAGCTCGAGTTGTTTTTCCACCAATTCTAACGTCAACTCAAGACGTTTCAGAACCTGGATCGAAGAAACCAATATGAGAAAGCTGGCTAACTAAGATTGGAATATCATCTTTTTTTGAGGTTATCTCAGAAACGTCACAGTATTAGACAAATAGTTAAACTTCTTACATCAAGTTCTTCAAGAACCTCCTGAAGTTTATCTCTGTCAGCGCTAGAGATCCCTGCTCCAAAATCGGCTAAATGTTGATAGGTGAAGTCACCTATAGGCTATAGAAATTCAAAAAGAATCTACTAAGATCATGATATTCTAATATATTTTGCAATCGCAGACAATGCCAAATATGAAGAGAACATGCATGCATATATGTCTGAATTTGAGCTTGAAAAAGCAGGAACCCTAACACAAGATGCAAACAGAAATATAGTGCACAACACAGAGCAGTTCCAATAAAAACACTCAGTCTTTATTGCTATTCCCCGTAGGGCACAACAGCTGATACACGACACAGCTGTTGCAACAGGTAGATTACACACACACTTCTATAGAACAGATTCTTAATCTAATTCTACCTAGAGTTACGCGACATCACACACACCGTGATTCGCTCTTGAACGTGTTCCTAATCTACCCAAGAATGCAATGCAACAAATAGTCCCAAAGCCGTAGCACCTGCTACACACAGCACTGCTGCAACAGATAGATTACAAGATACTTCTATAGAATAGATTCAGAAATCCTATCCTACCTAGAGTTACGCGACATCACATACACAGTGATTCGCTCCTGAACATATCTCTAATCTACCCTTTACTGCAACACAACAAACAGTCATGAAGCCTCTCCTTTTCTCTCAAAACACCAGAACACTTTTCGCTCTGTTTCTGAGATCTCAAAGAGCTATTTTTGAGAGAGCCAAAGGCATAAGGTCAACCTCCCACTCCTTTTATATCTATTGCCTCCCAGCAACCCTAATTCTGTTGACTCCCACTTAAACCCAAAGGGTAAGCCACGTTCCATGTCTTCTGGTGGCAGACCAACTTGCACTGTTTCTCTGGCAATCAGTCACATCAGCCACTTGACAACCAAACCTCCTCCATTTGCTTCTTTTGACTTTAGCAAAGAGTCAAGTCATCATTTGTTAATTGAGCCCAGCTTCTGCAGCAAGCTTCCCACTTGTACAGCTCTTGGCTCGAGGTGCCACCTAGCATGCCTAGTCATCACGTTAACTTTTCCTTACTTTTTGACTTTTCTTTCAGCTCCTGAGTAACACACAAGCGCTTCACAGCTCTTGTTTCTTTAGCAGATTCTTCTGCACTTACACTCTCCCCCTTTTTACTTGAGTATGTCAATCCAAGCATACTGC